TTCTTTGTTCGCTTCAAAGGACCAGCTGAGAGTATGTTTACCGAAGCGTAACGTCCGAACAATAACTGACATTACGAAGCTCCATTTGAGGGCGGAATGTGGAAGGTTCATGTCGAACTTCCCGACACCTACCCTTACAAGTCCCCTAGCATTGGCTTCGTCAACCGAATCTTTCACCCAAACATCGACGAGCTGTACGAAATATATACCTCCGTTTGATTTGAACTATGGCTAATGGTTCAGGTCCGGTTCGGTTTGTCTCGATGTTATTAACCAGACTTGGTCGCCCATGTTCGACATGATCAATATTTTCGAGGTTTTCCTTCCTCAACTCCTGCGATACCCCAACCCTACCGACCCTCTCAATGGCGAGGCAGCGGCCTTATTGATTCGAGAACCAAAGAGCTATGATGCCAAGGTCAAAGGTGCGTGTGCATAAATCCTTGAATCAGACAAAATACTCATGACAGTAGAATACGTCCAGAAATATGCGTCCAAGGAGGCAGCAGACGAAGCCGGAGCCGAAAGCGAAGACGATGACGAACTCTCCTCAGTGGCCAGTTTCGGAGACGACGATGAAGAGCCTGCAGGACAGATGGACGATGTATAAGCCCGTCTACAAGCGCATTCACTTGGGCGAGCGTTTCGATTCACATATGGCGTCATGGGACCGAGGCACGGATTTAGGGCTATCATTGGACGGAGTTGCAGTAACCTCGCGCAGGCTTGGACTCGGATCGAATTTGTTTCTTGGCATTAGTTTGACATGTTGCACACAAAGCTTCGCTTGTGCTCATCGGAGGGCGGTCGAACGAAACAGCCCCAACTGGATGTCATGATTGCTGGTGATGGGACTGGACGTCAGGACCTCGAAAGCAGTCTGGACGCGATGGTTGGCTTTTCGCTCTTTGCCAAAGATGCACAGCAGCAGGACAGGGTTTGAATATTAAATCAATAAATTGGGCTGAGCCCGGGTATCATATCTATAATTATTCTAAAAAGCCAGCGCCTATAGTGAAATGCTTAATCGGAGTCGTAGTCAACCAGGCCTGCTGGCGAAGCGGGCGCCTGCGCCTTGGGTCTTGGCTCCAAATTATCTAACTCTGCTTCTTGTGGTGATCTCTTCCGTTTCACGCCTGGCAGCCTGGCCGGTCCTTTCGTCGCATGTCGTTTGTCGATCAGGAAAGGATCCTTGGAGGCCCGAGTATTGCCCATAAGTTCCGACACCAGCGCATCTTTGCGTTTTGAAACCTCCTTATCAGCCTTCAGCTTGCTTCCGCTCTTCGAGTCCAGTGGTTTCTTCTTGCTCCCTTCAGTCTGGAATAAGGGTTTAGACAATGCTCGATCTCTGCCATCATCAACCACAGGTCCAAAGTCGACAAGAGCCGCACGGCGAGCATCTTCCTCTGTCCCAGGAACAATATCTATGCCAAGACTCATGCGATCTTGAAGAGCCCCTGTAGCTGCCGCGTCACGCTCTCGCTCTTTGCGCCCTGCTCTGAATGCCTTCCGTAGCTTCTGATTCTGCGTATATGGATCATTCCAATGTTTCGCAGATGCCTCCAAAAGATCGTCTATCCGTAGAGTCGCGCGCTTCAGCTGCTCCCTATCCTCAATAGTCTTTTCCAAGCTCGAAAATGCATTATTTCTCAGCGCCTCCCTCTCCTGATCCGTCATGATAACCGCATCTCCTTCGCGCTGTACATCCTCTCCCGTATCCCTCTTCGCACCGCCCTCCGTAACAACATACGCCGTATTCTTCGGATCCGTGCGAATCTCGATCTCCCCTCCGCAGTCCGCATGACGAAACTTGAAACTCCAGATCGGCGTTGAAAAGTAACTCCCCACGCGGCGCTTCGCGGCGTTGAAGCGAACGCCCTGTCCAATTATTGTAGGCTTGGGACAGGTGTTGCACCAGACGGCGAAGGGAAGCTCGAAGCGGACGGTGAGGGAGCCGGGTTTTGAGGCGCGTGCGCCGAGGGGGTGTTTGTTGTGAAGACGGTTGCCGGATGTGGTGCCTTCTACGTCTGGCGGGACGTAGCGGCCCATGTTGAAGCCCTGCATTTTGGCGGTGGTTTTTGAGGCTCGGGGCCTTTGGTTGGTGGAGGGAGGAAGATTTGGTGTTGAAAGAGATGGATGGTGGATGGAGGGGTGATGTTTGTTATAGTGGTAGGTACGTCACCTTTCAGTGGGGGTTGTGTTTTGGTGTAAGTTGACCAGCGTCACTCCCTTGTTCGTGTCAGCAGCCACTTATTTATACACCTTTGGAGTCAGTCATCAGAACATCTAGCTTTTCAGCCAAAAGCAAGATCTTAGGCGATTGTGAGGGTGACGAGTATATTGCCCGTATGTGTTTATTGGTGTCCTTTACCTTTGTGGCCTGGGGGCTGAGGCCTCTTTTAAAACCCGAACCTTACCGCAGTTCGTGTCAAAGTCCAACTTGGATGAAAATGAAGATAAGAATAAAGAAAATCTAGTATTAGGGATACGGAAAGTGTGTGCTCAAATAGAGATATATTATTGAATTCTTGAGTAGGGTTCAAATGTTGCCTAAAGTGTAATATTACTGTACATCTTGAGGATAGCAAGGTACAATGTTCAAATATCTACAGTATCCTGTAGAATGCAACAAAAACACGTTTACGGTTATGACACCTAGAGAATGTTACGTTCGGTTTAGATCACATTAGGATCAATTATAAGAGAATCTTCATATTGTAGCATGGTACAATCAACCTCATGGGATCATCTACTTGTCCATCAAAGACAATTAAACATCTTAATATGTGCTTCTCTTGCATTGTATAAAGATCAGCTTCCTAAGCAAAGACCTTCACTTCTTATCCGTCTCAAGCTTGCCAATAACAGGCTCCAAGAGTATAGGTAGATATTCTGCCGCATCCTTGCCAAATGCAAAATCACCAGGCTTGACCTTGTACATCTCTTCCTCATTTTCAGCCTCAGGATTGATAACCGCGATACGTGCGCCTTTACGCTTGGCTTTATCGATGTAGCCAGCAGCAGGGTAAACTTGAGCTGAGGTGCCAATGACAAGCATCAAGTCCTGTATATAATTAGTCAGTTTCTGAAAATTGCCCATTGTCAAGTTCAACTCACCACTTTGTCTTTCAGAAGCCAGTTCGTGATACCCATCATCATAACTTCGTCCAGATTTTCACCAAACCACACAACACCCGGTCTTTGAAAGCCAGTCTTGCACTGAGGGCACTTGGGAATGTCATCTGGTGAGATTGGGTCCAGAGGTTGAGAGGCGTCTAGAAGAGGAAATGGTTTGCCTGGCTCTACATCGACTGAAGCTGGTGCGAGGGCAGGACAGAATGGATCGTCATAGTTGCCTCGTTGAATCCAATCGCAGTTGGTGCACTTGATGTCGAAGAGAGAGCCATGAAGAGTACGGAGTTGATCCTGTGGATGGCCCGCTTGCTGAGAAAGATCTGAGGATGTTAGCAACTCTGATGTGACACAGAGGGGAGATAGACACGTACTGTCGACATTTTGTGTAAGACATAAAAAGTCCTTGTTCTTCTCAGCCAGCGCCGCAAGAGCATAATGCGCTGGATTCGGCTCCGCGCGCAAGCACATATGACGTCTATAGTTGTAAAACAACCACACAAGACCTGGATCATTCTTGAAAGCGCTCATGGTAGCTAAAGACGTAGCATCATGATTGCGCCAAAGACCGCCAGCGCCTCGGAAAGTTGGTAGGCCAGATGATGCTGAGAGACCAGCTCCACAGAGCGCTAAGATACGCTTACTCGAGCGGAGAGCTTCGTGAAAGGCGCCCACGTCGTTGTGAGGAGCCATTGCTGTGAAGAAGCGAAAATTCGAAGTTGCTGGTTTTGAAGAGAAGATAGCAGAGAGACGTGGTGTTGGTCTGAGAAGTCTCATGATATGGTGGTTGTGGATAAGCTTAAATGCTGGAGAGGAGTTGAGTATCACTGCAAGGATTATCTGTAGGTTGCTTCTCCAATGTGAGGTTGCGTCACTCGCCGAGAGATGTGATTGGATCGTGGAGTAGGCAACAAAGATAAATTCTGCCTGTGGCTCAACCTTGTTCAAAGATATATTATTGCGATGAAATATCGAATGGTTGTTGATGTTGCCTATCATGAGATGTGCTGATTGGCTTATTGACTTTAGGTTGCTAACATTGGATGCATCATGTCTCAACCAAGACACACTACAATTGACTCTCTAAATGAGGCTTGAGCCAGTATAGTTATATATAGTTAATAACAGATGGTATATTTGTTTGTTTCGTTCGATTTAATTCTTGTATAATAATTGCTTGACTAAACGTTGCTAGGTCATCATCTACGTCCATACGGACCAGCCGAGGCGAGCCCATGGGAGGATCCCCCAAGAGTTAAGGCGAACACTATGACTTTGATAATCCTTGACTACACATATATATATACATACATATATATATAATCCAATCCCAAGGTGGTTATCACCCATGTTCAACCCGCACCTGATCTCCCTTCGCGTCTGTCTCTAGTATTGCCTGTATCAGGAGGCGACTCAAGGACAAGCAAAGGATCAAGGATCAACTTGAGGCTCTCAATAAAACCTGAACGTCTATTTAGCCTGTAAAGGCCATCCAGAAATGGAATAGAACTTTCAAGACATGCATGGACAGAAAATGAGCCTATGCGGGTGATATCACCTCATGCATCCAAGTCGCCTAGGGAGGCCACTCAGCTCTCTCCTTAACACCACCACTACATGTAGGACACTCCTTACGGGAGAATATATACCGAGGTTAAAAGTGCATTATTGTGACTATCTTGTGGCCTGGATGCAAACTGGTTCGCCAGGAGGCAATGGCGCCTCAAGAAACCTGGTAAGGAGATATCACATCCAACATGGCCGATTAATTATAAATACAGACAAAAAGTCTCCCTCGAGAGACTGACCCACAATCGCTTTAACTTACAACTTTCAAATATTGTTCCACTACGAGCCCAGAAATAAACATGCCAGAGTCCAATGTCAGTTTGGTTGGTAACAACTACTTTCTTTGCGGTCCCTATGGACGAAACCTAAGGTAAGAAACTCCCTCTTTAGCTAGAGACTCGTTTCTATGATGCTGATCTGGTCAAGTGGTGCTTCGGACAGGGAGTTCGCCAAAGCGTTCCAGCACCCTCCAGGAGTCCATCATGCTTTCGTGGCAATTGGTGAAGACGACTGTTACTTCACCAAGTACTACAACGAAAGAACCGAAAGATTCACATGGTGTAAGATTATATATTCCTGAATTTTCCATCACTTGACTCACAGTTCACAGCTTGGTCTCTTTCCAGCTACGGTGGCCTCGACAGAGCACTCGACTCTCTTGATGGCGACACCCCCGAGTTTGTGTCTCTCGGGAGTGACGGCTACTACTTCATGCGAACCCAAAGCGGCCGCACCTTCTGGAATCTGCCAGACGCAGCTGATGAGTTCGTCGAGAACGCAGACCCAAACAGCGATGGCGTCAAGTATGTCTGGCTAGGAACCGAAGGCTCATACGTGGCCCAGAAGGAGTCCGGATACAGACAGTGGAACCTCCGTGGTAACTACGGGAGTCTAGAGCAGTCTATCAGGACCATGCCTAGCATTCGGATCCTGGGTCTGAACCTTGAGAATGATCGGTCATACTTTGTGGTGTTTGATGATGGCGCGGTTATGTGCAATCCTGCCGGTACGGACTTGACTAAGGATGCATTCAAAGCATGGGCTCGACGTGCATAAGGAGGGTGGAAGATAGCAACCGTGGATATTTGGGGATCTTGTGAGCCACTGGCCAGTTTTCGAGGCCCAAAGTTAGCCTGAGTCTGTAAGAGCCAATGGAGAATAGCCTGAACTTGTCCCTTTATGTCGTATCTGATACCACTGTTGTGATTATTTTCGTTAATTGTATATCCAAGATTATCAACTGCAACTGCAGTCGCCTTGTGAGGTTTAGGATATATTTTGTTAAGTTTATTTCTTGCTCCCAGAGGGTTGTAAAGTAGAGGTGTGGTAAAGTGAAGCCGTCTGCCCGAGCCTTGTTACCATTTACGCCAATCAGGGGCACGCACACCACGAGCTAATCCTTCAGTGAATAGCTTCATGCAGACATGGAAACCAGTCACACATGCATTAGACGCTATTGGTCAATATGAATGCAGAGACCTTTTGTACAGCTGAGAGTCCTACGCCTCCCGCGCGTGTGCCGCACCAACTCATTTTCAGCCTCATCATCTGGGTCAAAGAGGGGGAGACTTCCATGCAGGGACTCTTTGTACATTAGACAAGGCAACCATATCAGTTTACTATTCCAGACATAATTCTGCCCTTACATTTTGTCGTCATGGAACCCGCTAGTACTACTCGTGTTCGCTTGGCGGTCCCATCAGCTAAAGATTGGGATCATTATCGTGAGACGATCACTGAGTTATACCTCAAGCGGAACATGTCGTTACCTAGACTCATGTCACATATGCGTCAGGAGTATGGCTTCCGTGCTACGTGAGTATGGATACTGTAAGTAGATGACCGCCTCTAATGATAGTACACAGTGAGAAGATGTATAAGCTACGCTTTACAGAATGGAACCTCAAAAAGAACATGACGAAAAGCCGCAGTGTGGCATGCGTGCACATCACTGGCAGTAGTCAGACGGAAACCAATAAGCTCAAAGAGTACTATCGTAGACAGCCAGAGGAGAAACGTCGAGAGCTTCTAGAAACTCTTCTTCAGCCACTAATCGGCAAGACACCACTCACCATTACTGCCCCAGGGGTGTCACTTGCACCACCAGCCGATCTCCTTACCCAAGAATATCGCTTCCATCTCCTCAATACCTACGTTAGAGGATCGTCAGAGGACAATAAATGGCCAAGAGACGCTAAGAGCGGCTTCAAGAACGAGGACAATGTTCCAGCTTGGTGTAGCTCGGTCTCGTCAGCATCTCTGGCTTTGAGAGAAGAAAAGGAGGGCGAAGCAACTAGGTTCCTACAGCACTTCATTAAGCAGTCCCACGAACAACTCCAGCGCCAAGACCCATTGATATTCACTTTCATATATACATCGGTTCTCTTCTTCGCTACAAGTCGGCCAGGCGTGGCCCAATGGCTTTTGAACTCTCTATACAATGTCTCAGAGACCCTCCCATGGGCTGGATCTTCACACCCACTTCGTCTGCTCCTCCAAGTCATGCTGCAGCTAGGACCGACGGGTATAGTGGGCCATGCCAAGTCGATTATTCTTGCATACATCAACATGATCTACGAATCTCTCGGCAAGGTCTATCCAATCATACAAGACATGATGTCTGATACCATCTGGCGACTTCTCCGCTATAAGCTCATGAGTCCCGAAGAGGTCGCTACTTTGGGCCGTGGACTTGTGTTGGCTGCCGAGTTACAGAACCTACATCGATGCAAGGACCATATCAATCTCAAGATGCAACTGGCAGATGCATACTTGGAATCTGGAAACTATGCGGAGGCACGTAGAACGGCAGAAGAGATCAAAGATGTTGAGTATAAGAGCGAGAGGATGATGCCTTCACTGTATATGCTGATATCAAGGATTGATGAAGCGGAAAAGGGGGCAGAGGGCGCCATTGAGTCAGCACTGAGATCTGTGGTGGTGAGTATGGAGGTCTTTGGGAAATGGTCTGACTGGACTGTGAACTCGTTGGATTTCTACTGCAAAGTTCTCAAGCGTGCTGGGAGACTTGATGAGGCAACGAGAGTGGTCCAAGATCGTGACTTGGCGATTGAGAAGTTGTGTGACAAGTTGGAGGGTTCTAGCGTCGCGGCCTCGGACTGAGAAGTGTTTGATAGATGCCAACCGACCCTACGCTATGGTAGGTTGGATGTCATTAATAGAACATTGATGTGAAAAGGCAGAGCCACTGCAATTTCTATTCCAGCCGAGAATAACTTGAAGTCCATAGGCCAATCAAGACCTCGACGTCGTATACCCATTTATTTATGATATATAACAATGGACAAAGAGCAAAACCGTACCTAACTACTGTACGGATCCCTTGGTACCGAATAGGATGACAGAAGAGTGATGCGTGTCACAGACTAGACCAACGGGTCGATATTGTTAGTGGTTTCAGTTTCAGTCTATTCTAAAGTTATCTCAACTGAAGCACATTCAAGTAAGAAAACTACGAGCTAACCAACAAAACTCCTGAGAGCGTATAATAAGCGGCCAACAAGGAGGCATTCGCTTCCATTTTATCGCATTTAAAAATTAAGCATGGCCTGCTAAACAATCGAAGCGAGAATCCCTCAACCCAAAGCAGAAACATCCGAACATGGGATCGCTGACGGAAATGAGCCCACCCACTCTAACACCAGACATTATAGCGCGATTCCAGTAAGACCAGGCCTACAATTCGTTGTCAGTCCCTAATTCCCGGCATCTCAGGGCCGAGTCGGCCGCTGTTTCGCTTGGCGATGGGACCGTGCTGGTGATTAACGCCGGGAATAGGTCACTAGCCTTGTAGGGCCAGAGTCTGAGGGACGCTTTAAAAGGGTTGTCTCACCCCTTTGAACAGGAAAGAAAGAGACGAGAGGGAAGATAGAGTATTCATTCATTGAATCACAGTCACTCGTTAAGACTCAACTACCTGATAATTTAATTCTATACACTCGTTAATCATGGCCGCCAAGTTTCTCACTGCGGCTCTCATCGCCGCTGTCCCAGCCCTGGCCAAGACCGATCTTGCAGGATGCACCAGCTACGACACGGTTCTCAGCAACGCCAATGGAATGTACGCGTCTCGAATCTGGTACGTCCCTGACACGGGCGAGCTGTGCGACTTTCTCGACTGTGGCGGTGGCCGAGCTCCCCCCAAGACCACTGTTCCCGGGTGCCCTGGCTACGTCGGCACCGCGACCTACTCTCCTCTCTTCATCAACCCCAAGACTCTCGGTGGTGCTGTTCCTGAAGAGACTGGTGATTCTTCTCCCACGAGCACCGAGGAGGATGTGAGCGAGTCTGCTACTATCACTGCTGCGCCTACTACCGAGACTGAGGAGAGTGCTTCAACTACCGCGGCTGAGACCGAGACTGAGTCTGAGACTGAGAGCAAGGATGATGAAAAGACTTCGACCGATAAGGCCAAGGATACAAAGACCATCACCACTCTTGCTACTCATGCAACTCCCTCTGCTTCCTCCGGAGCCGAGACCGGTTCCGCTTCTGCCTCCGGACCCGATTCTCACTCCGGTTCGCACTCCGACTCCAGCTCCGAGACTGACGCCGCTGCTACCCCGGCCTCTACCGTTTCCACCGCCGGTGCCGTCATGCCCACAGCCGGAGCCTTCCTCGCTCTCGCCGGCGCCGCCATGTACGCCGGAATCCTCTAGATATATAGATAAGAACCTGGATCTAGTCTTGTAGAAAATATAGACCATCTCGGATATGCTTGCCTATTTATACATGCCTCCCTCGGCCGCCTTTACCCATCTACAACCTATCCTATTCCGCCTGCCCTCAAATTCCGCCGACCTCCCGTGACGGGCGTAGTCACCCTCCCCCCGCCTCCGCCGTAGATCCCGGGGTTCCACCACGACGAGCAATAGGGCGTTGAAGCTGATAGGTCCACCAACCAATACGCGGTGTAAAATGACAAGATTTAGTATTCAATGGGCGTCTTAGCCTTACGTGAATAATGTAGATACAGATACGTTCGATCTGTGCCTTGCTTTATGAGATGCATATAAGATGTCAGCAGAACATGACACGGAGCCATGATTTCATAGTAGTTCGTAGAGTTGTTCATTCACAAGCATCGAGGACTCGATCAGCAAGACCTTGACTTTGTTTGTTCTACCCCAGATTCTTTGTCGTTCCCTCCACAAGCCTCGAGTCTTATCTACCCGTCACCACATGACCTTTTGTTGAACCAACCGTTTCTCTCAAGTCAAACATCGTTGACTAAACTCACGATCACACGCCCTGATTTCCCCGCCAAGGAAGCCGCCGCTAGCCGTACACCCTTTGTGCTGACGACTACATCATTGTCGCGATCCTTGCCCATTGAGTAACACAAAAGTCCTGTCTGCTCTCGATTCAAGCTGTGTGACCGTCTTCTGTATCCTGCCGACTCAACCCAAGCCCTCGGGAACCCTCACGAAACACCAAACTCTCGCAACTTCAAGGCAATATCGTCAACTCGTATATTCATCAATATGGGCTCCCACGACTCTTTGAACCAGGCTGAGGGTGCTCCCCGGTTCTGGTACCGCGATAACTTCTTCCTCACAAACGACAAGTCCTATCTGTGTCCCCAAACTTTCAACAAGTCCCTCGACAACAATTGGTGGAGCAGCCCCTTGCCGCAAGGACAACTCCAAAGAGTACTGGATAACTGCTTGACTCTGGCGGTCTACTATACTCCCCAGACTGCCGAAGAGATGAAGAGTAAGTCAACTGAATTGCAACAAATCTCTACTTCTCCCTTTGCTAAGCGTGACACAGGGAACGGCATCGCTCAACCCAAAGATGGCTCTCCGCATAAGATGGTTGGCTTTGCTCGTGTAGTTACCGACTATGTAACGTTGGCCTATCTCACAGACGTATTTGTCCTCGAGGAATTCCAGCGGCGAGGCTTAGCATCATGGCTGATGAAGGCTCTCAAAGAGATAGTCGACGAATGGAAGCACATGCGTGGCCTCCTCCTCATGACGCACGACCAAGCCGCAGCTCGTCTTTATCAAAGGGAGTTAGGCGCCCAAGAGTTTGAAAAGGGACCATCAGCCGGGCTAGTAATGCTCGAGATGGCCGGTCCAGCCGAGAAGCCCACACCCAAGCATTGATATGCGTTTGCTTTTGTGTTTTTGTTATCTAGCGATGCATATACTCAGAAATCTCTTGCTGGGTTATTCATACTGTTTGTGGGAATTTGGAAAAATCTGTTTAGCGCTGTGATCCGGACATGGCGGCTCGCGTCTCAATGGCGCGTTTGTACGGGGGAGCAATGGGGGGCTGGACGGGATCTAGAGAGACGTAGTCCTCAGGGAGCTGATATGATGCATCGGAGTCAAAGGCGGATAGATCTCCACAGGCAATGAACGGTGCAACCCATCGAGTGCTTCTCTCCGTGTCCTCGATCGTCTCGTCGTAAACCTCCATTTCTACGACACCTTGATCCTTTATCGCTGAGTCCTGCATATTATCATCACCCTTCTTCTTGAGCATGTCATCCAATCGTGAACCAACTCCGAGAGGCTCCTCGAGACTGGCGCGGAAACCGGCAGGAGGCTGGAAGTTGATGCATACGATGAAAGCTTCCACACTGCTTGCGCGACTGCTACGGGGCTTGGCGACGATGACCTTCTCAAAGAAGATCTTGAGTTGGGCGTAGAGAACATCGACGTTTCTTCCGCGGAAGATCTTGGCGACGAACTTGCCGCCGGGCTTGAGGACACAGAGGGCCAGGTTCAGGGCGGCGAAGAGTAGCTGAGACTGGACGTAGATATCGAGGTCATGAAGACCTGTCACGTCAGGAGCTCCATCGCTCAGGACGAGATCAACTGGGTGCGAGGCCTGGGTGCCAGCAGTCTTGGGATCATAAGAAGGATCAAGAGCTGAGAGTAGCAGAGGGACTGTCGCAGGGTGTGTGATATCGGCTCGAAGTGTTGTAATACCCGCAAGTGGTGAAATAGGTTGCAAATCGATCGACACAATCTTGACATCTTCTCTAGGCTTTGGAGCAGCTTGTTTCTCCTCCTGAATCTGCTCTATTTCCGTTGTTTGTTCGCCGTCGTTGTCCTTGGGTAGAATTCCCAGCATCTGTTGTCGAAACTTGGCTTCCTTATCCTGCCAAGCAGCCCTTCCGAACTTTTCGCCCTTAATCAATACGCGTGATAGTACTTGCGACCAACTTCCAGGTGCAGCGCAGAGGTCGACGACTCGAGTGACATCGGCGAACAGGTCGAATTCTGAAGGAGGTTAGCTAAAGAGAATTGCTTGGTCTTAGAAGTGACCTACCCTCGTCCAATTGCAGAAGCTTAAAGGCACTTCGAGCACGCCATCCCTGCTCTTTGGCGAGTCGGTAGTACGCGTCGCGTTTATCTTTTGAGGACTTTCCCATTGTGTCGATGTATCTTGGTTGTCGAGATTGAATTTTTTTGAATCTGAATTTCGTGCCCCGCGTTGAAGATGGTGGGTTGGTGGGGTGCCTCTAGAGAGTACCCCTCCATCAGACGGGATTGGCTTAGGAACTCAAGTTTGCTATTCATTTGGCTGTCTACTTCCACAGGTAACGCTGTCTAATTAATAAATACATAATCTTCGTGTCTGAACAAGAGTCTATCGCTAAAAACCCAGTTCATCTCCTACAACCTCCAAAGCCTCTCTCAAAAGGCTACCAACCTTCTCGTCACCAACTACACCAGATGCTCGTACAATAAGAGGATATAATCTCAGCAAATGCTTCCTCTCATCACTCTCAATATTATCCAATTCTGGAATGGCGTTCTTATCACTCTTCAGCTCGACCAGCTTCTGTAGAATCCACAGTAATTCCCTTCGTTGGCTCAGGGGTTGGGGCATCTTGCCTCGTAGAGGTTGATCAGCGATGTAAGCCCTCAGTGTCAACGCGCACCGAAGAATAAGGAATGGTGCAGCTGTGCTGGCAATCCGAGTGTGGAGAGTTACAGGGGACTCGGCAAACTGACTATGCCTTGGATCTGGTGATTTGGGTGTTGGAGGTTGAATGACAATCGTTGGTTCATCTTTAGCTGCAACCAAACCAAACAGTACTTCACAAGCGACATAAGCCATCTTCGCGCGCTTGGTCGGTAACACTGTTACTGTTCGTCCTACGCGGGGAGCATAGAGGGCTGATAAACCCTTTTCGTGTGTGCCGTTGATGATCGACTCTTCATCTGGCGAGGGGGCATGAATTACTGAAGTCTTGAAAAGGCTTTCAGCATAAGCCTTGCGAGCCTTTTCAGAAACAGCTGCGGCTCCAAGTGCGGGAATAATTAGTTCTCGTAGCTTGTGGAAAGATGCAATATCGAACTCTTCGTCGCCTGCGAAGTCGGTACCTGGAGGAGCAACACTGCAATCCGCGCTCATGATACCATCAGCGATGGCGACTATCGTGGTCCAGATATTCTGGACAACTTCGTTTGGCAGCTCGAGGCTCGTGATCTGTGACAAGGTCACTTCTAAGATGATAAGCGCTGTAGATGTAGCTAACCTCCACGGTTGTGTCGATTTCGTTATCGTAGGGAAACCGTATTTTAACTCAATGGGCTTGCACAAAGCCTTCAAAGCCTCGGAGAAGGAGTTGCTGCGGTAGATGTCTAAGTCCTTCGAGTGCTCAAGAATAAGCTTCTCGAGTGTCTTCATGCTCGCCTTTGACAGCGCAATGTAAGTACGTTTAGGTCCTGGCTTTGAGAAGTTGGCCTGCATAAATGGCAAGACCAGAAAATCCGCAACTTGAGTAATCATGGCAGATGGCACTCCTTCAATATCCGTTCGAATCATTTGAACAGCTTCAAGAATATGTGCCTGTAACGGTGTCACATATTCAATATCCTGGACGTAATTGCCAACTGAGGCTTCGTCCAAAGTCTCTCGAAGGAGTGTCAGAATTCTGCCAACTCGTTTAACTTCAAGATCTTCCTGTACAAGTCGATAGATCTCTGTCAAGGCAGATACGTATGCAATGAGACAATTCTGGTTGTCTTCCGCCTTTTCATCAACAGGCTTGGAGGTCGGAACTCCTCTTGCCCACAAATCCCATGCGCTGTCGATCGCTGTCTTGCCGAAGACAGACTTGCCATCAGTGTTCGTCTGAGACAAAATATGAGCAAGCGCTTTGAAGGTTGCGGTGTTGATATCAAGGACTTGAAAGTCGAGTAGGGTAGTGAGATGGGAAAGTAACTCTTGCCATAAGTGATCGAATGAGGGGTGGCCTGTCAGAATATCAAGGTAATTGGCGAGGAGGCTGGAGATACCGTTGAGAACAACAACGGCAGTTTCAGTCCACTCAGCCCGGTCACTGTCCTGAGCATCCTCTTCTTCATCCGACTGTAGAACTTTGATTTCCTGCTCAATCGATGACAAGAGCTTAAAGACAACAGACTTGACACATATCGACCAAGACTCAGGGCTGAGTCGATCACCGTAGGCATCAAAGATCCTGAGCAAAGTCTGAATTGCACTATTGCGAAGCTCAAGCCTGTCATCAGTGGTGACATTGGTTAGTCGCAGCAGAAGCAACATCCACAATGCTGCATCAGAGCTCTTATGGCCATGATCAGCCGCCATCTTTTCTAGGTCAGGAAGCTCAGTGTTTTGCATCATATCTGCAGTAATGGCGAGTGACTCATTCTTCGCTGAGAGAAAGTCTGACAGCACCCAGAAAAACGTCACCGTCTAAGAAGAATTAGTCTCATTATCCTCATAAAGTTATTAGCAACTTACAGTCAAAGCAATGTTGAGATCATCATCTTGTGAGCAGAACTTGTACAGATTGTCCACCAGGATCAAGAAGCATGAGTTTGGTAACGACGCTAGAAAGTCTGAGCAGATGAGTTGGAGAGAGTTGAAAGAAGACCTAATAAGTCTTGCTGATCGGGTGTCGAGAAGAATGGGGTTGGCCACTGAGCCACGGCGGTAAGCTGGATCGAATTCCCTGGTGATAAAGATGGTGCCAATAATCTCAAAGGCTATGTCCCAGCCCTTGACTAATGTCTCTCCATTGCCCTCAATGATGCTTTGAAGACCATCGAGGATGATTTTGTGAATATCGATATCTGTTGAATGGCTGGCAAGAGAAACCTCTCGGTCACCTTTCAGGAGAGGTGCGAGCGACCTACGGAGGGCCTCAAAGAATTGGAGCTGAATCTCACCACGAGCCTCCTCAGGCAGGGAAGATGTGACATTAGCAGCCTCCAGAACCAGTTTCACGAGAATGTCTGCTGCCCTGGTTCGGACAGATGAGTTCATAGACGAAGAGGTGAGAGTGTCAATCAGCTCATTAGTCAACACGTCCCAACCAGATTCTTCTGGACTGTACTCCAATAATCTCTCAATGTTTATTGTGGCAAGCTCGCCAAGCTTAGCGAGTGCAAATTGATCTTCTTGAGTTGACCCAGAACTCATCTGCTGGCCAGAAAATCTACGGCCCTGTACGACAGGAGCCTTGAGCTGTTGACCATCAGACGGTGACTGCGGCTGAGTGGTGGTCTCAGGCTGCTCAACAGGCTTCTGTGTCAGCAAACTACAGACAGCCGCTACCACTTTCAGGAATGACTCATTGGGAAAGTCAACCGTGCTCTCGATTAGTCTGGATGCCGCTGTTTCGACCGCACGAACCTCGGAGCCGAAGTTGACCATCAACGTTGCAGCTTCACTGTCACCGCCTGCATCTGGTCCTCGGTTCATGGTTGGTGTCCTGCCAGGAGACTTTCCGCTTACGAAAAGGACAAAGTCGGCCTGTTGAAGTGTCTCCAGAATGATACTCCAAGCTCCAGCCAAAGTTGGACCAAGTGCTATGCCCAAGTTCAGCAGTGCCCGAAGGCATAGCAAGTTTCGAGTATTTAAAGAAGCGACAGAAACATCAAATGAGGCCTGTCGTCCTTTGTCGGCTGTAGGGGTGGTGGGCGTCAGGCTATCCACGCTCAGAAGGCCCCGGGCGTTGCTAAAGAGACTGCCATCGGTTGGTGTGCTTGGTGTTTGTGGTCGAGGTTGGCCAGCATTGACACAAGCTGTGAGGACATTAGGTGGGACGGCAGCTTTGCCCAAAGTTGTAAGGAAAGCATCCCGAGGAGTCGATAACTGTAACAGTCCAGCCACATGAGCAAATCGTTGGAAGGCACGGACTAGCCCATGATAATATTCTGAATCGAGTGCAGCATATAAGAAGGTAGAACAGGTCGCAAGTATCGCAGGCCAGCACTCCTCAACGATTGTAGCACAGATCTTAACTTCGGAATGGAGAGGATGGTCATCTAAGGAAAGGGGGTTCAGTGGAACTGGATTCTTCTTAAAAGATGCCGACCTTTCCATCTTCCCTCTGGGCGGAGTACTCTCTTGCTCAGACGGCGGTGCAGGTGAGTCCCGACCAAATTCTTGCCGAGAGGTTCGTTTTCGATTTCTTGTCTCATTTGGGACTGTAAGAGGCAGTATGAACTTGGCTAGACCGTCAGATAGAGACGATATACAAGCTAACACCAGGCTGTAGAGATACGACTCTGGTATACTAGGTGCCTCCGTCTTATCGAGCTGATCAATACAAGGAACGCGGACGGAGCTGAATTGGGTGCTGATACCCGTTGTTGTCGTCTCTGCACCAACCGGCCCTGTCATGAGACCTGTCATGCCACTCGCTTCAGCAATGGCTTGCTCAGAAGAGCCATTTGTGCTTGAGCTAGTTGTAGGGAGTGACGATGAATGGCCCAGTCCAATTACAGCAGGCTTTTCTGTGCTTAAGCGCACGAAGGTAGCGATCAAGGGCTTGAGAACATCTTTCTCTCCCTCTTTAGCATCAAACATTGCGTAGATTCGCCTGAGCAAGGCATGATCCGCAAATATTCCACGGAAAACTTCCATGCACAGCGCTCTCTTCCAGACGGTTTCATCTTGATCGAGAATGTGCGTCAGTACAGTCAACGCCTCACCGCATTCCGATGGCAATATGCCGATGTGCCTACGCAGCATAGTGTACAGAATGCGCACCAGGCGTACCGTGGTCGCGAAGTTCGGTTTCCCCTTCAAGGCCCCAATGAGGAGTGGCATTACTCTGCTTCGTAAAATCTGAGCCTGCTCGGGGTGGTTACTGAAGACGGTGGCATGATTTGTGATGACGGACTCAATGAGTTCCAGGCCGAAAGTCTGTGGAAGTCCCGAAACGCGGATGAATTCTGGTCTCTGGTTTTCAGTCATTAGGCACAGGTCGTTAAAAATACGGTAGGCATCGGTAGCTGCAGGATGGTTTTCTGAATATTCGGCATCATTTGCCGTAGGTGTATCGCCTGCTTTCTTGTCTTCGGCGACAACTTTGTCGAATACAGACACGACCAGTTGCTGTAGCGTCGCTGCTGATGTATGGTTCACAATGGCATTTTTGCTACTTTGGAGAGTAAAGCAAATGTTGAGTGTCGTCACCAACAAGTTTCCTTTAAGATCTGATGCATAATTTTGAACAAGTGAGGGCAGCGCTTGCAAGATCTTGAGCTGCACATCCAGACCAGCTGAGGTTGCTTGCATCAAGGCCTCCAACACTTGGTTCAGCTTTGATCGCGGAAGAGCTTGCGCAACGATGAGACGTTGAAGACAGACAATAGCGATGGCGGTAAATTTGGCGTTTTTGGTACCACATGCGATAATGAATGGGTTGACAAAGTTGGGCTTTTGAGATAGCTCTGCCTCGAGTCAGATATAGCTTCCATGGACTAACAGGGGGTAGCTTGCGGACCTTCAGGCGCTGTTTGTTCAGAAGGATTTCTCAAGTTCTTCAGCTCTTCTAACGATTTCTCCGCGGCCTGTAATCATCATAAGCTGATACTCTTCACATTGATGAATAAAGCGGCTCACTTGTCGCAAATCATTGTGTTTCCTCTTGCTCTCCTGGATGAGATTGGCCAGCTCCGTGGCAAGGAGTTGCGTCGTCATCTTGGGAAATCCGCGCAAGTTCTCGGCTCAGAACAGAGCATGTGAGTTCTCTGCAGGTCCATGCAACCGAAGAGCCCGAATTCTCTTGTTGTTCGATGATGTATCACCCCTTGCGCTGCGTTGATGCTCGTAGGCAGTGATGTGTCCCTTGTAGATGAGGCGGCAGAATTACTCACCGCCTGCTATTCACGTGGGGCCTTGGAAGAGCGACCCTTGCAATCATGCAAAGATGCGCCTTCATCATGACTTCTTCAGAATCTTGTTAGAATTTTTTATTTTATTTTCATATGGTTTGTTGTTCTCTTATCCTATGTAGTTTTACGAAATATAGTGCAATTGCCTTTTGAGCACTGATAGTTCGCTACTATTCCAATTTGAGCGGCGGTTCAAGCATCTCTATCAAACACAATCTCCAAGAAGCTCAACAAATCCCATGACTCGATAGATAAGTTTTACTAAAGCACCTCTCGGATTCCCGGAGAACGGTGTGTACAAATTCGGGCACGTAACTCACACATACCAATGACTGATCACGAGGAGTTCCTCATTGAAGAGCTGTGATAAGGTTAAGAGGTTAATAAAAGAGGCTTCAGCCCCAAGGCACAAAGGTAAAAAGGACCGGTAAATACATATAGGCAATCTACTCATTACCCTCTGTTTGCTGATATCTTGCTTTTGGCTGAAAAGCTAGATATCCTGATGACTGACTCCAAAGGTGTATAAATAAGTGCCTGCTGCAGTGTAGTGTGCAGCCGGCCCAGAAAGTCAAAGGCATTATAATATCCATCGACTTGAGCCTATAATCTCTCCAACAAGCCAGCGCATTCCATCATGGCTCCGGACACCCGGCCTCGAGTACGACCGACAGTCTCCAAACATGGGCTCCAGATCTTACTTAGAGCGCTCGGACTCGACAGCGATCGTTCCGGATACAGCGGAGGCGCTGATACTGATACCGTTATACTATCAATCGACTTCGAGAAGACCGACAATTTAATGGGTGGATTTTCTCAAAGTGATGATAGTCAAGTGGGCATCGCAATTCTCAATATCAAGGACCTTTTTGCGCTGCAGGACAAAAAGAATATCATATCGACATATAACCTGGTGACGGGATCACCGTCGTATATCTCCAAGGCCTCGAAGAAGTTTCTTTTCGGGCAGTCAATGATAATCAACCCAACCAAAATACTAAAGAATATCCAGTCAATCATTCCGAGAGATCGACCTATTATTCTCGTTGGTCACAATGTCAAAGTTGAGTTACGGATATTAGCTCGATTGGGGTTTGATTTACCATCATTGAGCGCTGAGATTATTGATACTGCCAGTATCACTAATGAGGTTTTCGGGGGTCCAGGTTATCCCTTACGGGAAGTATTGACTTCTCTTAACTGCCCTTTAAATAATTTACATAGTGGTGGGAATGATGCAAACTTCACATTGAGAGCTTCACTCCTTCTAACGGCTAGGGGCAGCGATAATCAAGGTCATGCCATGATTAGCACCTTGAGGATGATTTCTACAGAGCCGATCCCATATCGAGCAGACCCCGAAATCAGAGCAGCGATGAAAAAAGAGAAAAGAGCCGCAAAAAGTCGTAAGCAGCAGTCTAAATTCTGGAGTATTGATAAACAGAATGAGATTCGTGCTGAGCGCGCAGCTCGGCGAATGTCGGGTCAGGAGGGGATACTCTGGAAGTGAAGTACCTAGCTATCTCACTGGGAAGGGCACTGGTAATACATACGCTGGTGCAGTGTGGACATAAAGCTAGGGTATACAAATTATTACATTGATTGCTGGTCCCTTATTTCCACTACAATCGAATGCCTAATACGTATAGAATTTTATATAAATATATATAAATACCTGGGATGGGCGGGATAACTCACGAAGTGAAGCAGCTGCCTCGCTGTGAGGGTATTGATGATACGTTGGTATAGCTAAGGCTTACAATTGGACTTCCTCGTCAACACGGATACCTTCCATATCTATCGCCTCAAAGTAATTTTGTCTCAAGACACTAGTAGGCCCGTGAAGCATCCCGCAAGAACCCTTAAATAGCTAAATCTTGAGATTCTTTACTTGTAGTTCTTTACTCAGTATCATGATTCAAGTCGATGGATCGATTGAATACTAAAACTCAACTCATACGTACTACTAAATGATTGAACAGAAGGAAACCTGCGATCAATCCAAGTTCGTGCGGAACAGAACTGCATGTGCGTGGAGCCAACATCGCACATGCATCATCTGAACATAGGATCCAGCTTCTAGCGAATTCGTGCAACATATAGTCTAGCAAATCTCTTTTTGTGGGTTTTGAAAGTTTTACCCAAATGACTGAAAATCCGACTTGGCCCAAGCCTCAGTTCTAATAGAAGGACGCCGCTTGCTGGCTGTTAGTTCGCAACTGCGGCTTCATCGAAACGACCGAACCTACCAACTCCATAACCTTGTTTTTTCACCTTGCTTTCTAGTATCTAAGGACTTTAAACGGGGACGTTGTTGAAGAGGTAAGAGACGGATTCTCCGTTGTGAGTTCGTCGAATAGCCTGAGTGTTTGGTCAGTATCACGATGCACCCACATATGTGATGCAACGTACCTCAGCAAGTGTTCCGGAGACATCAATGACCTTGAGCTTGGGGCATCGCTCAATCTTGTCACCCACTATTGAAGTTAGCAAACCGCGTGAGCACGCAACACGCGCAGAAGCGCATGCACAAAACCAGGTTCAAAGCTTACAAGGAACAGCTAGGAAAGGTTAGCAAAGGTCCTTGAGATGAACATGCCGGGTTACTTACTGTTGGTGACAACGAGACCAGAGAGGCATGAGTTGTTAATGGTATCGATGGCCTTACCACTCAAAATACCGTGAGTAACAATCGCATACACCTCCCTGGCGCCGTGCTCATTAACGGTGGCAGCAGCCTTGGCGAGCTATATTGAGGTTAGCCTGTGTCACTTACAAAAGGTTACGCATAGCTTACAGTGCCACAGGTGTCGGCCATGTCGTCAACAAGAATGGCGACCTTGTCACTGACATCACCGACAAGAACCATGCGACCAACAACGTTAGGTCGGGGTCGCTCCTTGTGGATGAGAGCGAAACCGGTGTTCAGGCGGTCAGCAAGAGATGTCGCACGCTTGGCTCCACCGGCATCCGGAGAAACGATGACGCAGTTGTCGACACTGAGGTTCTCGCGGATCCAGCGGAGGACGGAGGGTTCAGCGTAGAGGTTGTCCACAGGGACGTTGAAGAAGCCCTGAATTTGCGAGGCGTGAAGATCCATTGTGATAACATGGTTCTGAGTCATGGTCAGTAGGTTGTCAAACATCATGTTAGTGAAACACGTACGCAACCAGAAACCTGGAGCATGTTTGCAATGAGCTTGGCACTGATGGGAGCTCGTGACTTGTCCTTCTTGTCCTGTCGCGCATAAGGAAAGCTGGGAATAACAGCAGTGATCCGTCTGGCCGAGGCAGTTCGACAAGCATGAATCATGATGAGCAACTCCATGAGGCCATCGTTGACATCTCCAGGAGCAGTAGACTGAAGAATAAACACATCCTCGTCACGAACAGACTCTCCGATAGAAACACTAGTCTCTCGGTTGGAGTAGTTCAAGCTCATAGTGTTTGCGATATCAATGCCGAGTCTGAGATATATCAGCGACTTGAACCCTCATTTACAGGTGCAGCGTCACCGCCAGAGATTGCGTGAGGAGCGCAAAATGAGGATAACATACCGACTGGCGACCTTGGCACTGATCTCCGGGTGGGAGCTCCCCGAGATGAGTTTGATTTCGTTCGCCATTTGGTCCAACATTGTCAAAGAAGGGAAGAGAAAAGAGCGGGGCGAAGAATTTTTGGCGGCGAGGAATAAATAACCGTGAGCACAGCGCCTCGGTCAGGATCGGGAAGTTCAGGTTGGTATGTGATTCAGTTCGATGATCAACGCCGGGGATAAGGCTGAACGTGATGCACAAAAGAGGGCGAGGTTTGTTTTGTTAGGAACCAGAAGGAAGATCAAATAGCCTCTGACTAAGATCAAAAGTCAACAACAAGGCAGTTCAAAAGTTTTCCATCTTCGGGTGTCGAGTTGTGGAGCAGTCGGGAGCTAGAATACTTTGTATACCAAAAGGCTAAAGGTGCTGGGTCATGTGATTGATGTCGTCTTGATCGCTTTTGATTGACCTGAATTCGAAGTAGATTCACAGAGGCTGAACTCTAAAATGTGTAGGTATGGGCTTGAGGTGTCGAGGTCATGATGAGCAAAACTGGACATAACCGTCAGCTGCTCTCGGGGGTTCAAGAAATATTCAAGACAAGAGGCTTGATATCTTATGGTGAGATTGTACCAATCCCGATAACAATATGCCGGGGTTATAAACTGGGGAAGAGTATAGACTTTAGGTCTTCTTATGATGTGACTTATGACATGATGACTCTCCAACTCGATGAGAAATGGCAGCCTCAAATAAGTCCAACAATTCTCCGAATTCCATTCCACGCTCTCAATTCCTCAATAGAATCAATTCAACGTCATCTCAGCTCTTATCACTCCGCGTCTATAAAGACAAAGAACTGCCCCCAAGTGCCCCTCGCCCCCCTCTATTACCGGCTTGCACCGGAACCTTACCAGGATAAAACTGGAGCAGACTCGAGTTGCTTTCTTTCTTTAGTCGTTTCGCCCCAGTCAGACCCTTCCGAGAGCATCATTTGTCAAATCGCACGACTTATCTTAACTAAGCAATCTTCAACTCGACGACTGATTTACGACTTTACGATTTTTATATTCCAACGACCGGCCATTACACTCCAATCGAGCAGCCACTTCCTCTCTACGCACTCTCGAGTCTATCGGATCAAACAGAAAAGCAAGCGCCACGTGATCCCGCATCTCGTCGAACCAGTGATTTGATGCCCCGTCACAACCTTTCGCCTTCAAACTTCACCGCTTGCCCTCCTCATCTATCTCATGCAAACCATGTTGGAT